TCTTTCCTTGGAGTTGATTCTTTAGTCCACCACCTCCTGGGTAACTCTCCCTGTCATCCTTCTGTGCTCTCTCCTCCGTCTCTCAGCAATGTCTTAGTTTACCCTTCTCCTCCTCCTATGACTTCTTAGCAATTCCACACCAACCTTAGGTTCCACCGACAGCAGAACTATGATAGAAACAGTCCCTGCCTGAGAACCTTCTCCTCACAGAGGTTTGTGCCCTTCTGGGGAGACTGCCTGAGGAAGGTAGAGACAATCCACCATTGTTCAGGGCAATTAGCTGCCATGGACTAGAGCCATTGAAAGGATGCCCATGAGTGGGAGGCTCTTGGCTACAAAAGCTCCATTCACAATAATACATTTTACAGACACCCCAGAGGGCTATGAGAACCTCTATCCAGACACCCACTCCACAGGAGAGAGAATCCCTGTCAGCTCTAAAGACACAGATTTAATTCTCTCTGATTAACAACAAATTGGGAGTATCCCACATGCAAATGAGCTTTCTGAAGGCTCTCTGTAGAACAGACCCTCTTCCACGGAGGCCGGAAGGGGTAACCTTAGGAAAAGTGTGTTTCAGCTTCCTCCTGTGCCTAATCGCTGAGCTCTTTTCCTTCTAATCATCTTTATTTTAATGTAAGAATATGGCAAATGTCAGAATGTCATGAGATGAATGTATGATCTAATTTATTTTTGCAGGGAAAAAAAAATGGGACCTGAAACACCTATTTAAGTCAGGTGTTCTGAAAATGATTAAATAAGAGGACTAAGAGGAGGACCTAAGTGTAAAATACAGCTCAAGAGGCGGAGTGCCACAGATTCAACCTGCTTATTACACTGTATGATGTGAATAATTTATCACATTTTACCCTGCATTAAGTACTGTTGAGGATTAATCTTTGGTTTATTTGCAGCCCGCTTTAACCCCTACCTGCCTCAGTCTGCTGGTTCCTGGGAGAGGTTTGTGGAAAGTCTCTGCTGCCCTGGTGCATGGATTAGCCAGGGCTGGACAGCAGTAACCAGCCTAACTAACTAGCCTTCTCCCAGGAACTCATCTAGGAATATAAACCACCCATGTTGCCTGCTCCTGGGGCATTTTTCACCTCCTAACTTTCAAATCTTTCCCCTCACGGGCTGTCCCCTTTCTATTGTCATATCTTTTCCATTTCACTTATTATTTATCCTTTCATTTCTATGCCATACATGGTAGTCCAGGCCCTTGCTTCTCATGCTGGACTCAGAACCAAAGCTGCCCGGCTGACCTCCCTGACCAGCCCCCACCCTCCAGTTTATCCTACATATGACCAATGTTCCTAAGATCTGACTTTCACCCCAGCTTTCCTGGGCTTGGAAGGCTTCAATGGAGGGTCCTGTTCAAGACACAGACCTGCCTCCTTCACCCAGCACTCAAGGCCTCCTTGGATCTAGCACCACCATTCCTCCAACCTCACCTCCTGTTTCTCCTTTCCAGACACCCTCCCTTTTGGCAGATCAACTCCTACATCTCCCTGAACAGCCAGACTCTCTCTTACCTCCATCTTTGACTGTGCCCTCCTCCCCCAAGGAAGTGTACACCCTGCCTTTCCTGCACCCAGCCTGGCTGAAATCCCTACCGTGCCGCCAACTCATCCCTCATGGCCCCAGGCCCCTCTGAGCTTCTCCTCCTTCCAGCCAACCCTCACTTGGTACATCATGGAGTGCCCCTGGAGTGGGGACTCTAGGCTTTCCCCTGGGAGAGACTTAGAAACAGCAATCTGGTTGGAAGCCGGAAGTGGGGCCTTGTTTCAAAGCTGTGGTGGGCACTCGGCTGATTCTTTACAGATCAATAAAAACAGCAACTTTTCTAAAGGGGCTTGTATTCACATTTTACATAAGAGTAAGAAGACATCAACTGCCCATGTCAAAAAATATTATTTTAATTTAGTGTTTTGTGGTGAATGGCTAATGAAGATGAGGAGGGCAAAACATACCTCTCCAAGCCCTCCTTGGCACTGTTACTGCCCTTGAACTATTAAAGGAAGTGTCAGAGACAAGCTCACAAACAAATCCTCTGTAGATAGAAGTATTATGTCCAAAGTGCACCTAGTAGGCATCAGAATTATCTGCAGAATGATATGACCCCAACTCTTTGAACCATTTATCTGCCTCATTTTCTACCATCTTATTTGGTATTCCAGATGTCTTAGAAGGTCTGTGCCTGCTCTTTCCCAATGCAGCAACCTCCCAGGACTAGAGGGAAGTTCACTAGGAGTGCACAGTCCCACCCACTCCTTCCACATCTCCCGATGGTCCTGCACCAGGTCCTCTACAGCCTCCGCCTCTGTGTTCTCCCTACTCACCTGGCTTTAGAGTCCCTCCCTCCTGTTTACTTCCTTTACGTCCACTGGAGACAATCTCAGGCCTTATCTTACACTTTATGATCTCAAAATCATTTTTCCTTTGTCCATTTTCTGGTTAGGTCTCTAGCCTCAAATCCCTTTTAGAATGAGGTAGGAAATGAATGAACGAGAGAGTGATGTCTCTCACATGTCCTCACCCGTAATAATATCAGTGTTGCCCATTAGTGGCTTTTCATCGACATGGTACCACATCAGCCCTGAGGTTCGGCAGGGAATGTGACCCGCAGCTACAAGTGTATCATATCACTTTCCCAGGAACTTTTAGGGCACCTTGGAGCACCCCACGTTTCTGGCTGAGCCAGGCTCAAAGTTGAAGTTTACATGCTCCCTCAGTAAATGACCTTCGCTAATTCTGACCCTTATACCTGCCTGAGGACAGAACAGGGACATGTCTGTGAGTCCACACAGGATGGGTGGCAGCTTTCAAGGAGTTCCTCTCCATGATGAGTAGCTCCTCTCCGTGATGAGTAGCTCAGCCTCTATGCCTAGAGTGTATCGGAGAACTGCTTTCCTGCCCTTCCCTCACAGGGAGGCCTCATCAGCTTCCTAGTCACACATGTTACTTCCCCATTCACTTCCTGTCCAGACTCGTTTCCAGCTGCAGCCTCAGCCCTGGGGCCCAGCAGGCACCTGGGAAACAGCTGCAGGTGACCCAGATGGTTTGTGATCAAGCCCAGCCCGTCCCAGCCTTCAAGGAGCAACTCATGGAATCCAAAGACAAACAGTCCCAGGAGCTCTCACCAGCCCATCAGGGAGGCAGGAGCATGTGGCCAGCTGCCCTAGGATCACCGTCAGGTCTTGGAAACAGTCAGCGCCAGGGCTACAGCCACCAGACAGACCCAGGGACATGCCATCTCCGGAGTGGTGACTCCAACTGCACTTGGACGGGGCCACTAGTTCACACTGGGCACCCTGGCCCCACTGCTTAGCAACTTCAGTCAGCAGCTGAACAATCAGAGTCATACGGGGACTAAGAAGAATTATTCCTCATCAAGGAAGCGAATTCGGAAGAATCTAGAAATCTTAATGAATTCTCTGCACTGGAAGAAAGGATTAAAATCTAAGTGAGGTAGAGGACTGCAAAGGGAAAAAACGCTCAAGCGTGGCAAGAGAAACTGTAATTAAAATAGCAAATTGCAATTTGTGGGGGGGGGTTAGGGAGGGGTTGGGAGGGGATTGACGAGTGTAGAGACCGAGGGACATCCAGTGAAGCGTCTGACAGAAATGATTCCCAGGGATGTTCTGGGGAGAAAAATCCATCTGGAAACAGAAAAAAGGAAATGAAACAAGAATTTGCTGTATTATTTAAAGCTTTCCATGGTAGGGGTGGGGGTGGGGCACATTCAGGAGAGAGGAGATTGAGAGAGAAGAGAATGGAATCGCTCTACCAAAGGGGATTAAAGGAATCATAAGGGCTTTTTAAAATGACTCAAGCAAAAAAAGGGATGCAAATAATTGTAGGCTGTGAAATTAATGGTGGCCAAGATTCTTAGTTCATTCTTTAAATCTGCTTAACAGGAAAAATGAAGGAGAGACATTTGTATGCTTGGGGAGTGATGGAGTCCTTGAAAATGCAGTTTCATAGAGCACTGACAAAACCAAATGCGCGGCAGAGAATATGTGCCCTGGGATAGGGCAGAGCTGGCAGGGAAATCCAATTCCACGGCAGGGGCAATCTGCTTCCCTAAAAATACCTGGCACTCCCTCCCGTGAATGTTTGGCTTCCCAAATATTTGACTCTTTCATGGAAGTCTCCAAATCACATCCAGAAATTAACAAAATCAAAAGATGTTCTTGTGACAAACCACCTTGGAACTGGGAGGCCTGGGTTTGAATCTTAGTGCTATTACTTGCAAGCTTTGTGACCTTGGGCTGGTTACTTAACCTCTCTGAATTTTATCACCTTATACGATTGAATGGGATTAAATATAAGCAAGTGCCTGTCACAGTGTTGGGTCCATGGTAGGTTGTCAGAGAAGGTTCATTGAATCTGAATCCTTCACCCCTTGCCAATTTCTTTGGTCCAAAGGACCTTCCACGTTGAGTCCAGCCCTTAGAACACACCACTTTTGGGAATCTCCATTTTTTCGCTGACTAGAAAACACATAAGCCTAAAATCCTGGGGGAGGTACAAATCACTCTGAGCCTCAGCAGAGTCTTGGCCCTCTCACCTGAAAGTTGACAGGCACGGTAGCACACCCTTTGGGTCCACCAGGCCACTGCACACTGCCACTCACTCACTTAAGACCACCTCTGTGCTCTACCACACTGGGCTCTCTTCATCCCAGCTCTTTCCCCTCAGCCTTTTCCAGACCCTTCCCAGAGGCAGCACCCCCACCCTTATGAGAGGCCTGTACATCCTGGGGCCCAGACCCACCCTGAGGGAGCCCAGCAGGTGGGATTGATGAACCAGCTCTGGGGGAGAGGGGATCTAAATGACCCACATCCCCCACCCACCAGGAATGCAGGGTCTCTCTCTCCAGGGCTGACGGTGGTGGATGATTTCCCAGATGCTGCCTGGGCTGTGCCCGACTGCTGTCGGCCACTTTACTCCTCCCGTTTTTCAATAGCTGCACCGGATTTTTCATTCTTCCTTAATAGGGTGTCCACTGGGACCTGAAGCTTGTGCTCAGCAGTGGAGGGGGTGTGGAAGATGAGGCTCCTCCCAGAATTGTGCTCCCCACGCCAAAGCCAACCCCAATGCAGCAGTAAGGATCTCATCTCGGAGGGCCTTTCAGTGCTCACCCTGTGCTCCCAGACTCTGATGTGACCACATGCCCGGCAGGGAAGAGAAAGTTAAACGTCCCTCTCTCATGTCCATCACTTCCAGGTTTGTGATGAGAATGTGAAAGCCACTAGGCCCAGGACTCTCCAGTTTGCATTTGCCCATGAGGCCCACGAGGCATCACTGGGCAGCTCTGGGAGAAGAGAACTCTGCTCACTGGGGGATGAGATAAAGCTACTTAGTTATTCAAACCCCTAACTTACCAACGCTTTTGTGGCAGAGGTGGTTAACCCCCACCCGCAGCCCTTACCTGTGTACCCACCTCCCCATGGCCTATCTGGTCCTGTTGGAGTAGTTTTGGAAACTGTACTAATCAAATAAGAATCAATTAGAAGGTTTACTTGGAGCAAATCACTTAGCATCTCTGAGCCTCTGTGTCTTCATCTGTAAAATGGGGACAAGGGTACATACCTCGTGAGACCATCAGTAGAATAAACTAGAAAATGCAAGTGCAATCTTTTGGTAAACTGTAAACTCCTGGACAAATGAATGTTAGTTTTTGGTTGCTTATACACAGCTCAGAAAGCATGTCAGCCCACATCCCTTGAGGAATCTTTCTTAAGCTTCTTGCCTGGAAGCTGGGATGACATCTCCTCCCACCCTTTTTATTTTAGCTTCCATTGTCCGCTAAGCTTACCTCTATAATAGCACCAATCAACCTGTATTGTAATTGTTGCTTTGCTTATCCATCTCCTACAGTCTACTGACCACCCCTTTCCCTGACCCACAGCAGGGGGGTCAATACATAGATGAATGAACAGACTGGAGCGCTGGGGGAGCTGGGGCTGAAGATGCCAGACATAGCCACCAGGGGGCAATCAAATCCTGCCTAAGCAGGTCGACTTGAGTCATTGCAGAAGCCCTTCTCAAAGGGAGAGCTCTGTAAGAATTGCTCTCTGGTGGGTGAAGGCCAGGGCCTAAAGTCTGGGCCGCGAATTCTCTCTTTGTGTCTGACATCAGCTCTGTGTAAAGACAGGACTGTATCTACCAGGGTATTTTGAGTCCCCAGGTCTGCGTGGAGCCTGAGTGTCCAAGATGACCCTGGAGGAGAGAACCAGGTTGTCCTGTGGGGGACGGGTACTGATGAGCTCTGCTGACAGGGTCCGAGGGCCAGCGTACATGTTGTGTGCACACGTAGGCGTGAGTCCATGAATGGCATGTTTATTAGCACTCTTGGCCCCTCCGTGGATATCTGGCCGCCTACTCACCCTCATAAGCAGCACAGCAGAAAAGTGCCAGACAGCATCGAGGCCTGGGATGTGGGTCTAGTCCACCCACTGACCCGCTGTGTGGCCTGAGCAAGTAGCTTCCCCTCCCTGGACCTCAGTTTCCTCATCTGTGAAATGACAGCATTGGGCCAGGTGGCTAAGGGCCTTTCTGGCTCCGACATTCATTCTTTGTGTCTCTGAGGTGTGGGCTGATTCAAGTTCAAGGGCTCTGGGTAACCTTGGGGATTCTCAGACTGGGTTAGAACCTGAATCCTCAGGATGGGCCTCTGCTGCATCTGGCTTCCCAGCAGGGCAAAACCCAGGCTCACTGGGGTGGTCATGTGCAGAATGCTGCCCTTGGCTCGGAGAGGAAGGCTTTCAAATACCTGTGCAGACGCTGTCACTTGCCTTTCTGTCTGTGCAGATTTCCCAGGTGGGGCAGCCTCAGCAGATCTCTCCTGGCCCTGTGCTTCCCCCGTCCCCACCCCTCATTCTCAAACCACCAAGGGTCTCTCCTGCTATCGATGTTGCTCTCAACTGGGAAGGTGAGCATCAGTGACAGGCCCACTGGTCTTGGACACTCACAGCAAGCAGAGCCTAGAGCCTCAGTCTCTTGGGACCTCTTGGGGCCTCTTTTCTCTGGGACCTCACCCTAGCCCCCTCCTTTACCAGGGGCAGGACAGGCCAGACAGCCGAGAATCTACCCGAGCACAAGCTGCTGTTGAAATAAAGTCAAAGATGTTTCTTTATAAATTTCCCCTTGAAATAAACCCAGACTTAAGAACAACAGAAACACGCAAAATGTGTTTTTAGTGGAACCCAGATGGAGGGCTGGAAGCCCAGCGGGCTGTCTCCGTAGAGGGTTCTTGTCTCTGGAATTCTATCCTCTCCTCCCCATCCTCCTCAGGAAGACCCCCACCCCCCCACCCCTTGGGCTTGGGCTCTCCAGCCTGGAGCTGTCTCTCTCAGGCCATCTCCTTGGGGTTGTTTCCACGTGGGCAGAGTGCTTCCCCCACCATCACCCTCTGGACATAAGGCTGCGTTTGGCATCTAGAAAGATCTGTGGTTTCAGAAATTTGGGGGAGGGTGCTGGGGACCAGGACTAACTCAATCCAAACACCTGGATCTGCCAAAATACAACAAAGAGAGTGAATTAAGACATCTGAAAAAAATACTCTGAGGAATTCCGCTCACCCACATGGCCCACTGCTTCTCATTATATAGCTACAGTTCTCCATATTAACATATGCAAATCCAGCCCTGTGCGTGAAGACTTAGGATGCAAAGGCAAGCCCTGAGAACCCCCTTCCACCCCCAAAATGGTCCAAGGAGTTCCCTGTGGGATGAGGAAATCTCACCGGGTCCATTTTGATTCTACTAAAACAACAAGTCTTGAGAGTTGTACCCAGGGGATGGTCTTTCCTTGAGGGGAAACAGATGAGAGGAGTTTCAAGGGGAAACAGGGAAATTGATCCTGTAGAAGCCGCCTCTTCCATGAAGTGGTACTGATCATTTTTCAACAAATATTCTTGGATGCCCACCATGTGCCAGGGCCTGTACTGAGCGCTGGGGACACAGAGGTAACCAAGACATGGGGACTAGCCTCAAATTGCTCATGGTCTAGTGAAGGAGGAGGAGGAGAAGGAAATCAGAGGTTATAATTAAAGATGATGGAAGACAACGAGTTTGGTTTGCCTCTGGGACCTCCAGATAAAGATAGTTGGATATAGGGGATCTGACACTCAAAAGTAAAGTTTGGGCAAGAAACACAGACCTCAGAGTTATCAGTGCAGATGTGGTGGACGAGTCTCCTGGAGAGAAGAGTCGAGATCTGGGAGCCATAAAGGAGGGAGAGGGTGATTTGGGCTTCCCAAATCATTCACTGAGCCTGGTTTTCTATTTCCCTTCCTCAGGAGGTCATTCCTGTCTACGACTCTTCCTCCGGCAACCTCTTCTCATATTTCCCCCTTTCCCCTTCTTCCTGTTTGTTATTTACCATCTATGGGGTGATCAGAATTGAAGAGCAGCAGGGAGGGGTACTGTGAGGATGGGGACAGTGACCTTCTTATTCCCCCGCTCCTAGCTACCTGCCCAGCAGATAGTGGGCCTTCAGTATGGAGGCCCTCAGTGTTTGTTGCCTGAATAAAGGAAGGAAGGAGAAGCCAGGCTAGAGTTCCATTTTTCTGCTCCCTTCAGGCCTCACTCCTGCTACAAAAAGGAAAGGAGCACCAGAGAACGAACGGCAGGGAGCCCAGCCAAGGCCCAGGGGCAGCAGGAAGTTCAGCATCCTGTCTGACCTTCACCTCCCATATTCAGCCCTGACACATGGAGCAAGTGAAGCTGTGTGCTCTCCCTGAGGACCCTCAAACACGACCCCTGCTCCATATGCATCGAGGAGGGGGCTGACGGTGGAAGGAAGTGCCCAGGCAGAGGGAGACAGAGTATTAAAATTCCACTGACAATTCCATGGGAAGGAGTTTACAGTTCCTAACTGACCGTAAACTCTTGCTCCTGACAGGTCTTGGAATACATCACTCCAGGCTCTCCTGGAGCAGCTGACACATCGCAGTAACGCTTCTCCAGAAGTCAGGGTCTGCTGCTTCCAGCGGGGATGGGAAGGCAAGCCGGGAGCAGCTGAAACGGCCCCTGTCTCCTCCGACTTCACAGACCCAGGGCAGGCGGCCTGCTCGATGGAGGCCCATCGAAAGGGCTGTCAAGCGCAGCGCTGCGATTCCCAGCCGGAGCAGAGAAGGTGGTTTGTTAACGGTCTGCCTCTGAGTGGATTTCTATTCACCTAGTGGAGGAAACACGTTTTCTCTCAGCTGAAAGCTCTGAGTGGCATGTCGCATATGTCCTTTATTAATAAAAACGAGAAAATGGAGTCATTATTACTGCATAATTGCAGTTCATTTGCTAGGCCAAATCTTTCAAAGCCCAGGTGCTGGGGGTGTGGCAAGGGGAGAAAATAAAAGGGGACCTTGATATGAACCACTTGGGAAACACCTGTGTAGGAGGCCCTTGGGAGAGATTCTTGAACGGCACAGGGCCGAGCAAGTGTGGGCAGCGAAACGCACACCTCTCTCAGTGCTACCAGACTGCACCACGGCCCTGGCGCCAGCTCCAAGGATCAGGTGACCTTAAGCAAGGCCCTACCCTCCTGAAGGCTCTGTTTCTTTCCTTCTTTTTTTTTTTTTTTCCAGGAAATCAGAGCTCATATTCCTGCCCTGCTTGACTCACAAGGTTGTCCTGAGACTCAAATGACATCCATCATGGATTCTTTCCTTCATTCATTCACTCAACAATCATCCATTCAGGTATGTTATGGGCCAGACATTGTGCTGGGTCATGAGACACGAAAAGGAATAAAATGCAAACCCTGCCTTCAAGGAGCCAGCAGTCTAGTGGGGCCACAAAGAGAAAAAGATGAGAATAATAATACAATGTGGTATGGGGGACCCTAGATGCCCACAGTGCTTTGGAAAGCTAGAGGAAAGCTACCTCAGTTGCCTGGTATAAAGAGGGCTCCGAGACAGTGATGCCTGAGCTGACTTTTAAAAGATGAGCAGCAAAACCGGAAATATATCACATCTTCTCCAAAATGTGGACAGGATCATGGTGTGTGTGACCTTGAAGCTCCAGTCTGAATATAATTATTGCTGTGCATGTTTTATGACCACAACTGCCCAGTGAGACAGTAAAAAGGACGGGATGGGGGTCAAGGAGACTTCTGCCAGGCTGCTGTGCCCCATGTGGAGGACAGCACCCCAACTTTCTCCTTGAGTCATTTACACCACCCCCAGTCTGCTGTGGATAAAGCCTGCTCCTCAGACCAGAACCTCCATGAGAGTAGGAGGCCCCAGGTGGGCCGTTACAATGTGATCTTTTAGGCTTGTCAGAGGAAAGATGTAGATGGGAGATTGACCAATTTTAAGATGTGGCCCCCACATGGACCCAGGCAGGGAGCCAAGCCAAGTGTATATAAATTTCTTCAGCCCTTTAAGGCAAGAACAGAGCTAAGGTAGAACAAGACACTCATGCTTTGGAGACATGCCCATCCTTATGCTGTTGACATTTTCTGTAATTATTCTCTTTTTTGGCCTCCTTTAATACTAAGTAAAATTAAGAAAAAAATTTTTATTGACATATTATATTAGCTTCAGGTGTACAACATAATGATTCCATATTTGTATATATCGTGAAATGGTCACCACAATAAGTCTAGGTGACATCCATTACCACATAGTTACAATTTTTTTTCTTGTGACAAGAACTTTAAGATCTACTTTCTTGGAAACTCTCAAATATACAATACAGTATTATTAACTATAGTCACCAGGCTGTACATTACATCCCCAGGACTTATTTATTTTATAACCGGAAGTTTGTACCTTTTTGACCCCCTTCACCCAGTTCAGTTTTTTTTTCGTTTTATTCGTTTTTTAGATTCCACACACAAGTGAGATCATATGGTATGTGTCTTTCTCTAGCTGACTTATTTCACTTAGCATAATGTCCTCAAGGTCCATCAATGTTGTTGCAAATGGCAAGATTTCCCTCTTTTTTATGACTGAATAATATTTCATTGTGTGTGTATGTGTGTATATATATACATTTATATATATATGCATTGTGTATATATATATGTATATATATATGTATACATATCTTATTTACTTTATCCATTCATCCATTGATGGACACTTAAGTTGCTTCCATATCTCGGCTATTATAAATAATGCTGCAGTGAACATGGGGATGCATATGTCTTTTCAAGTTAGTGTTTTTGTTTCCTTCAGATAAATACCTAAAAGTGGAATTGCTAGATCATATGGTAGTTCTATTTTTAATTTCTTGAGGAATTTTTTTTTTTAAAAGATTTTATTTATTTTATTTTTTCCCCCCAAAGCCCCAGTAGATAGTTGTATGTCATAGCTGCACATCCTTCTAGTTGCTTTATGTGGGACTCGGCCTCAGGATGGACGGAGAAGTGGTGCCTCGATGCGCGCCCGGGATCCGAACCCGGGCCACCAGCATTGCAGCGCGCGCACTTAACCACCAAGCCACAGGGCCGGCCCCATCTTGAGGAATCTTGATATTGTTTTCAAAGTAAGGTTATTTTTTAAGATGCCAGCCCATCTCAGCTCTAGAGAACTTGAACTAGAACTTGAAAGCAGTGATCTTATGCTTTTGGGAGCCAGCACGGTGGTGACATTAAATATCAGAGGAAGACACCCCTCTTTCTATCCTGAGAAAGACGGTACTCGGGAGATCCAAGTTCAGGTCACGTTGTCAGCCACCACTCCCAGCTGGAGTTTCTCCTTCCAGTGTTTTTCTGGGTCACACTTTGGAGTGTTTCTGTGTGTTTCTTTTCACAGAGAAGACATTTCACATATAATGCCTGTAAGAAAATAAGACTAAGACTAAACACTGAGAACTTCCCTCCTCCAGCATGAGGGAGAGGTCCCAGGAAAATGGGCTGGGACTCATGGTTGGGACTTTCGTAACTTGTCGCTCTATGGATGCTGGATCCCATTTATTGTCTGTCTGCCAGCACTGCCAGGGGTCCCTACATCAGCTGGTTGTGCGCCAGGGGTCCTGTTGGAGAGATGGGTGGGTGGGCAGGCAGGAGACTCACACGAGATGGGGTCTGTTTCCTGGCTGAACTCGAGAGAAATGTTTATCCCTCACCTCTGGGCCTCTAATGAATTCTGATTCAAGCCACACAGGCCTAGGAATCGATAGTTTTAATCATTTCAAAAACTAGCCCCACTCTGGGTAAAATTACAATGCACAAGAAGCGCAATGGAGCTTAAAGGCCACAACCTCATTATCATTTCATTAGACTCACATTTCAGCAAGATGGAAAGAAATGTTCTCACACACCACCCCCTCCCACGGCTCCCCTCTCCTCCCCCAGCCCTGTGGAATAACTCTGGAGGACAGCGATGGTTTACAACAGCTGTCAGCTATGAGAGCCACTGGCCCGCTCCCATCATGCTCTCAGCCCGAGGAGGAAGCTCGGCGCAGTCGCTGGAGACCTCAGCGCAAATCAGCGCAAATGCCTCCCAAATCAAGTTTGCAATCCTGGGAAGTTTAGTAAAAACAACCCTGCTGTCAGTTTGGCTTCTCACAGCTGGAGGGGTCAAGTCATCAACACAGTATAAACCCAGGCCAGCAGAACCCTGTCTTGCCCAGGGCCCCAGACGCCCTTTGGGAAGCAAAGGGTTTGAAAATGTCTTAAACTTTTCCAGTTTGTTTATTTTCCAGTGTTTAATGATATTGTCCATGCGAGGAGCAGAGCCCCAGCTCCTGCTAACAATTAAAGAGGTTTTCTAATTTAGGAGAAAATGTGATTTAAAAAGAGAGAGAAAAAGAACTTGCACAGGAAGTAAAGCAAATAATTCACATTGGGAACATGCACTCAGAGAAGCCTTGAGCTGAGAAGACCCAGACTGGACGGGGAGCACACAGCGTGAAAGCTGTTCAGGGGGACTGAGCCGACCAGGGGGCAGTTTCAGAGCAGGTTGCAAATGTCTGCTTCTCTGGTACACCTCTGTCGTGTGTTACTACCCCACCGCCACGCCCAGACGGTTTCATGACTATGGCTTGTATCTGTGACCCGAGTATCCACAGACCTCACCATCCCATAAGTCCAGGTGGGTTCCCATCAATGAAATTATCAGATTTCACTGCCACTTGCTCCCGTCTGCCAGAGGCTCACTCTGTGGTTCGAGGGAACCCTTGGGAGCACCTCACATGTGCTCATGAATGGGACCCCCATCGAGAGTGGATGCTGTGTCTTACCAAATGTTCACTCTCCACACCCTGTTTGCTCTTTGATACTGCGCAGCCCACAGTCACTGCAGGGTGGGCCTTGCTGCTGGCATGCTCTGTAAGAATGCTGCTGTCCAGGCCCGGGTTGTTGTCTTGAAGCTCCACAAAAGGGCAGCATTGCCCACCTGGTGTCCTCGGTGCCCTGGAGCCTCACGGTGTCCTCTACCCTTCCCCCACTCTGTCACAGCCTGTCACCTGGACACCAAGCACTCTGAGTCTCATAGGGCCTCCTATGAAAATAGCCCCTTCAGCTTCTTCTGAGGCCTCTCTCTCCACAGGTCTCAGATGCTAGGGGAGTGGGCAGGGGTGGGATGAGATGCACTTCCCTCCACTTCCCTTTCTTTCCTCCCACTTCTCATGGATACCTGTGCCCCACACTTCCCCAAATCCAGCAGAAGCATCTGAATCCCATGGCTAGAAATGCTGTAGGCCAAAGTTGGGATCTCTACTCCATGTCCTCAGACCTGTGGTTCTCAACCTTGGCTGCATATTAGAATCACCTGGGGAGCTTTTTCAACTCCTATTGCCAAGGCCATACCCTAAACCAAGAAATCAGAATCTCTGAGCATCAGTCATTTTTAGTTTCCCTAGGCAATTCCAATGTGCAGCCAAGATTGAGAGCCACTGTCTTAGAGGAAGAAAGGAAGGGAGGAAGGAAGGGAGGGATGGTGGGAGGGAGGGCACGGCCAAAATTGGGAGCCCTTTTCCTGTGATGGAAGGGAATTGAAGCAAGCCAGATCTAGTGCCACACCCCAGGACACACACCGAGAAAACCCAATGATTCTTTGCCAAATCTACCAGTGACTCGTACTGCTGTTGTCAGTATCTCTTTCAGCTGAGTCAACGTATTGGGAGAGTCAAAGAAGATAAGGGCAGTTCAGAGCTGGTGGCATCCCAGGTGCCTGGAGGGAGGAAGCCTTGTTGGTGGCTGTGGCGGAGGCAGACAGAATCCTGCAATTGACGGGACATTGGGAGAGCTCTGATCTGGTCCTGTGTGAATTTCCAAACTGCCCAGCACAGCTAGCCATCTGCTGCAAGAACAGGTGTGACCAGAGACTGGCCTATATTAGCTAGGTGCACAAAGAGTTCCTTCACTCATTCATTCATTCGTCCATTCACTCACATTCGCACACGTCAGAGCTGTGCGTAAGGGACCGCAGATATCATACGCAGCCCGTTGGTTCCCAGGCTTTGTTTTTAGCTGAGGAATGCTGGTTTAAGTGAAACCGTATGGAAGCATAAACACATACAAGGGGAGTTGCTCTGGTTAAAGTAGAGTAGGAGGCCCTGGGCCTGCCCACTTGCCTCCCTTCTCTAAGGGGGCTTCACCAGATTTTCCTGTTTCAAGGAGAAATAGAGTTTGGAAACCTCTCATCTTATAAATGACGACACTGAGGCACAGAGCTGGTGGTGCCTTGCCCAGAATTGTACAGATTTCATGTGACAAATTTTACTTTGCTGGGTATGGGAGAATACAGAGCTAAGTAAGTCACAGTCCTTGCAAAATGGAGCTTACAGCATAGATTACTACCTCCACCTCAAATGCTGAACCAAATGCCCAGGTTAATCAGGAGACCTGCCTCTCTCAGATTTGTTTTCTGAAGAAAGCCCTTCCCAGGGTCTTCCCCAACACGTGGCACTTGGGGGAAGCTGCGACCTCGTCCTCTGGAGCCCACCAGGTCTAATTCACGTTCAGCTGGGATGCAGACCGCCAGAACCCACTCCAACTGTCCTGGATGTTTCTGGTTGTTAAATATTTTGACTATCACACTTAGATCCCATCATCAAAGTTTCCAAAGTGTAAGAACCAGACAGTAACAGAAAACATCGGTAACTAGACCAGCACTACCTACCTTCTCACTGCTATCATTTGACACCCGTCTTACGCGAGATTTCTCAGAAAAAGGGGAGACCGTTCTCTTCACGGGGTGATTTCCCTGGGTGACTTTTGGGGCATGGTCTTCCTGAAGATGCATCCTGGGCACAGGGTGGCCATGCTATCTTCTGAGATAGACTGAAAGCCACACAGTAGCTCAGGACAAAGGCAGGCCCGAGGTCAATCCTCAACCCTTCTACTTGCCCGCAGCACAGTGTGCGTGCAGGGCAGGCATGTCTCAGTTCTGGAGTTGTGTGTGTAATGGAGGCTGTCCCTCTCCAGGAATTGCTCTCGGCTGAAGGGACACATCTTGCCTAAGTTATGCCCCTTCCCAGGGGGTACAATGACGCAGCCCCATTGCCTGGATGGGGGAACCTCTTTGAAGAGCCACTCAAGCTTCAGCGTGCCCCACGGAACGGCTGAGGCCTCGTGGCAACCCCACTGCCATACAACCTCTCCCTCTGCTGGGCCTGCTTCCAAGACTCCCTACAGGGCTTGTTCTGTGAACAGTCCCCAGTTAACCTGCACACGGGTCTTCCTCTCAGAGTTTGTTTCCTGAGGAACCTGACCCTCAAGAGTTCACATCAGCAAAATGAGGACAGTAACCCCTACCTCTCAGAGCTATGGTGAGGGTTAAGTGAGCTCATTGTTTTCATGAAATTTCCTCTCTAACACAGTGCCTGGAATATAGTAAATGATCACTACACACTTGTTCACTTCCTCGCTCTCCCCATTCTTTCTTCCTCCACGTGTGTTTATAGATTTTATGGTGAGTGTTCTCTCTCCTCTGAGGGAGACCTCTGGCTCTCTGTTCATTGGCAGAGCAGAAGTGATTGACACATTCCAACCCAGTAAATGTTCAATCCCTTCTTTGCGTTCAGGTGTTCTATGTAGCTGTGCTCACCCCTCATACCAACACACACACACACAAGCGGTATTGCAGAATCCTGCAATTTCTACAGCTTTACACACATCCAAAGCTTTACACCATCACAACACACAATCAGAGAATTACTTGTGAGGAGACCCGTTTACCGAGTGAGACATCTCAAGATAGAGAGATTATTTCCTGGTGGTGGAATTAAGGAAGACATCATGAAGGAGGTCAAGGTCACATTTGTCATAGGTTTTGAAGGATGGGTAGAAATCCAGCAGGCAGAGAGGGTGGGACGGGCTTTCCAGGCCATGAGAATGAAATGGCAGTCAACTGTGGAGTTGGGAAAACACAAAGCATGTCTAGGCAAGTCCTACTGTGTTGGCTGAAGACGAGATTTTGTAGAGGAGGAAGAGGGGTAGGAGCAGTTTGGGAAGACAGTTTGGGACCTGGTTGGGTGGGGCCTTGAATGCCAAGCTGAAGCTGAAAGTAATGGGACCCCACTGACAGTTTATGAGAGGTGGAGAGAGATTTAGAAAGATCAGTCATGGAGAGGATTGAATGGGAATGATACTGGAGGTCAGAAAACCAGTGCAGAGGCTATGGTTACAGACAGGGCTAGAGAGGACCCCAAACCTGGCTGGGGGATGGGTGGGTCAGGAGGGTAGCAGCCCCAGCGTAGGAGCACTGATCTCTTTTTCGCATCACCACTACTATTGAAACGTTCAGGAGCAAACTGTGCAAATACTCTCACCTCCTGGTCAGAGAATAAACAACAAGTGAGCTCACTGCCCAATAATTGTTTGGGGAAGTGAAAAAGGAAACTGACCTCAATATCAGGGTGCCTGACTCACTGTTTCTGAGTGACCTTGTACAGGAAAATTCTCTGAGCCTACTGCCAGTCACCTCCTCTGTCCACATCTTGCCTCATCAGAATGTAGACACCAAAAGAGAGGCCCATGTGCAAAACACCTAGACAAACGTCTAGAAACAGGACGGACCCAGCCCTACTTCCCCACTCCCTTGCTGTAAGGCCTGGGGCAAATCATTTAACACCAGTCTAGGCCTCAGTTTCCTCATCTATAAAATGATAATAATAACTATCACCACCCATTTGTGGGACTTTTATGAGATCAAATAGCCTAATAAACCTGAAGCTCTTTGGAAGCGGGTGCTAAAGAAATGCAAGGTGTAATTGTCGATGCTGTTATGTAATTGCATATTCCTATCGCCACCACCCCTGCAGCCTTGTGTATCTCTTTACCCTGAAGAGCCCAAACACTGTTCATGGTGTCCTTTTTTCATGAGTAATTCTCAAATGCCTCCTGTTGTTTAGATGTGGGCCTTACACCCGAAGCCTCTACAGATACTGCCTACCTGAAACGGACCTTGAGTCAGATCCTACGAAAACCAGGAGAAGCGCCTGACCGAGAGCACCCTGGAGAGGAGGCAAAAAAAGATGAGTCACCACTGCTCAGCGGGAAAGCTGCTGGCATCTCCGTCAGGGAAAGGCAGGGGAAGGTGACTCAAGGTGGGACTTTCTGGGAGCAGAGGAGCTGTGATCACTCATCCCTCCAATGCCCCCATCTCCTGGACTGCATCGATCCGGATCCTGCCCCCGCCCCATCCTGGTCTATCTTCTGGTCCCACTGCCTAGAAATCTGACAGTGCAGCAACGTGACTCACCAACCAAGTGACCTCATTTTCTTCATCTGTGAAATGGGTCTGATAATCTCTGAGCTGTCTGCCTTACAGGGCTGATGTGAGGAGGGTCCCATCGGCTGAGGAGGATGCGAGAATGCTTGGTGACTATAAGGTGTTGTACCAAGGTAAAGAGCTGTTTGAGGTGATCTTTCAAGGTATGTTTGAAGATGATTTCCTGTTCAGAAGAGGTGGGGCTGATGGCTGGAGGCTGCTCTGCAGTGGCTATGAGAGAAGTTGTAGGGCGATCCCAGGACACCAGTTCCCTCCAGACCCAAAGTTCCAAAGCCAGGTAGAAAGTTTCTTGAACATGGGTATTCAAGAGAACGTCTCTTGGTGTTCTGATACAAAGGCACTCTCCCTCAAAAAAACCCCAAAACCACGAGACCAAGACAGTGTGGGAGTCACCGTCTTCCAACAGCCTACTGCTTGGCTGTTACACTCTTCCCAAGTGTCTCTGGACAGAGGCATGGGGCTGGCCTGGGACAGCGACACCCACCCACCCAGACCACAAAGGAGCATGGCTGGGAGATGGCAGTCTCCCTCTAATTAGGGAGAAGTCAGAGTCGAGCTACCAAGAAGCTGTGAGTCCCCTTCCCAGGGGGACCTGCCCTGAATGGAGAGAGGGAGACAGCCCAGGCAGCCACATGCCCAGTCCCCCAGGGCAGCAGGCGTCCAGCAGGAACAAGGGCAAGGCCAGGGGCAGGGCGTGCTTGCTGTCTCCGGCTTGGATCCCCTGCTCACTGGTGGAGGGGAGAGGAAATAGGTTAGAGTTCTCCAGGGGAAGTAGCCTGGGAATAACGCATCGTCATAGCCCTTTGGGGCTTCCTCAGGAGGCTGGGATGCGGTTGACAGATTGGGGAACCCCAAAGTCTCTGAAGCAAAGACAAATTCTCCACATGCACAGGGAAGGTTTAGACCATCAGAGACTGCCCCTGCCCCCCACTTTTAAGTATTTCCCAACCGTAAATGATTTCCTAACTCATCAGCCTGGGGTTTAAGTCTTTCCTTTAACTTGACCCTTCCTATCCCTCCAATCAGATTGGATCACACTCCCAGACTCAGCCTGCCAGTCTGACGTACGTTGACCCCTCCGTTGAGGGTCCTCCATAGCCACACTCTCCCTCCTTCGTGTAGGGACCACAAGCATGGACTCTGGAATCAGACTGTCTGGGCTCAAATCCCAGGTCTATCACTCACCAGCCATGTGACCTCAAGCAGCTTATTCAACCTTTCTAGGCTCTGCTTCCCCATCAGTATTTGGGGATAACAGTAGGACCCACCTCGAAGCCTTGTTGTTAAGAATTAAACGTATTAACAAAGTGCTCAGCATAGTGCTTGCCACCCGATAAGCACTCCATCTGTGTTGGCTCCTTTTGAAAATCCCACCCAGCGACTTCTCAAGACCAGGCTTCCGATCTATTGTTGAAGGCCCTCCTTGACTGCTCTCTGCTCCACGCCTTCCTCCACAGCGGCACTGTCCCTTGTCATGCTGGGCTTCTCCTTGCTTCCTGGTCACATGGTAGCTGATGTAAGCGCCAGGGACAAGCTAGCCAGCAGTCATCCTTCTTGGGAACCCTCAGTCCCCCACCTGCCTGGGCTTGAGAGCCTTCTCTGTAAAGCTGTGTCCCTCTCATCCGTCAAAACTCTGCTCAAAATGCACATCCTTTGTGAAACATGGCACAGCGGGAGAAGCTTAAGCTCTGGGCTCAGACAGACCTGGATCTGAATCCCAGCTTAACCTATACCAGCTGTGCGACCTTTGGGCAAGTTACCTAACCACTCTTAGCCTCAATTTCCTGACATGTCAAATGAGGTAAGTACCCTCCCTTGCAGGATGAAGGAGAGGATAATGTGAAACAACAACCCCCAGATGCCTAGTGTGGGGTTGGGGGCAATGTTGCATGTAGTAGGTGCTCAATGAATGTTTCCTTCCTCTCCCATCCACCCTGCTCTGATAGCACAGGCTCTCCCCTGCACTCCAGCCCTCAACAATCTTTACAGCCACTCTTCTCTTCCTCCTCGTGTGTTCTTGGATGTTTATCATGCAGTGGTTACTCTTCCATTCATCCAACATTTCTTGGGCATTTACTCTTTGTCTGATGCTGTGCTGGGCCCCGGGGATGACTGTGACAAAATCCTTGCCCCGAGGAACCCCTAGAAAATTGAAAGGGTCAAATATACGTGCAGATAATCCTGGGGTCTTGTGGTAAGTGTCATAGTGGGGCGTATACACAAGGTGCTCTAGATCCCAGCCTATGGAGTGACTAACACTGATTTTGGCAGTCAAGAGCCTTGACTCCAACTCAGCGGGCATCGAATGAGCCCATGCTGTGTGCCAGGCATGGTACTAGGTGCCGGGGATGAAGGAGAGAGTGCCTCTCTCCTCAAGGAGTGCAAGGTCCAGCGGGGAAGACAGACAAGAGGACATAAGGATTACACCATGTGGAAAGTGCCCGTGTGCCCAGGGTGCTGTCATGCAAGAGGGGCACAGCTGAGGATGGGGGCAAGGAAGACTTCCCAGAGGAGGTGGCACCTAAGACTTGAAGGACAAGTAGCGATTGGCTAAACAAAAGAGGGATGGAAGTTCTGTCCAGGTGGAGGGAAACAGCCTGTGCAAAGTCTGGGAGGAGTGAGGCCTGTTGGAGGGCTCAGGAAACTACAAGTGTGTCTGTAGGCTGGATGCATATGCACAGGCTCTGAGCTTCTGGTAAGCTCTTCTTTTCTTCTCTTTCTCCCTCCAACATCCCTTCTCTAGTCAGACTCCTCAGCCTCAGCTCCAGGGGCCCCCTTTTCCCCAAGACTTCAACCCCTCTGGTGTCCTAGCTCGGGAGCCACGCAGTCCAGGCTCTTCCTAAGGGTCAGGGAAGCTTTGGAAGGAAAAAGGGGAGGGAAGACCCTTGGTGGGTACTTAGGCTGAGCTGGAAAGAGAAGAAAATCCCACCACCCCCCGTACCCCATGGAAGGACACTGACTGATGGCCAGAGTGAGCCTTGGGTTGTGGCTAGTCCACGGTAACAGCTGCTAGACTTCAGGAAAGAACCTGCTTCCTCAGCTAGAGCCTCCCTACCCCAGCGCTTCTGCCTCCCTGCTTTGTGTCCGGTCCCCTCAGGCCCCTGCTCCTGCCAGATCAATTCCTTCCTGCTAATTTGGTCAAGGTGAAGCTCCCCTCACCTTCCTGGGGTTTTACCATGCAGCCAGCAGGCCACAGAGATTCTTGTCACATCCCGCATCTGCTGAGAGACATGCCCGCACAGTCACCACGCTCACTCCCCCGTGCACACACTCACACACGTGCACACACTCCTCTCCCACATGTGAACTCACAGTATCCACACTCATACACAGACTCGCACACCACTTACCCATGCGTCTGCTCATAGACACACACTCACACACACTTGCACACCAGAAGGGCACAGCTTGCCTCTGTTCTGTAAATTCTCTTGGGGGAGGATCAGCCCCTCAGAAGGTTCTGGGCCTCCAGCCCAGGGATGGACATCAAGCCCCACACCAGAGAACCCCATGGTCTCACTGAGAGGGTACCAAAGGGTTAAGAGAGAACATTTCCAGGGAGTTTGCCTCTTAATCAACACAGTTAATTCTTTTCCTTTTACAAACATAAATTTTTGGCAGTCAGTAACCAAGAAAGAAAGGGGTAAAAAAAAACCTTAACCCAACGTTAGTCAAATCTTTGCCTCTTCCTATTTTTTTCAAGTTAAAACCCAGGGGAATTCAAAGCAATGAGAGAAATCCCAGCCCAGATGGAATGTTTTTGCTAATATACGTCTGCAAGTTATTTAAATGTATGTTTAAGTGTGCGTGTGTGTGTGGGGGTGGGGGGTGGAATATGAGAGCAAGCAAGTATGGCTGAGTGGTGTGCGTGTGTGCGTGTGTGTGTGTGTGTGTGTGTGTGAGTGACGGGAGCAGACAGCAGAGCAGAGGAATCGCCAGAGTCTCTGCCTGAGCCCCAGCTGTCCTCTGGCCTCGACTGTTCAGTCTAGACCTGAAGCAGGATGAGATCATTACCCAGGACTGTCCTTGTCCTGGGACAACAGCCCCTGCCCCTCAGCCCCAGGATGGCCTCTGTGACACATTCTGCTAGTGACCACCCACCCCCATACATTTTCTTGCCCTTCTTTCCTGTTTAGTCAGAAGACTTGGGGCTGGAGTTCCCAGGCCTGGAGGAGAGGGGCGGTGGAGAGGACCAGGCCCCCCTCACAGAGCCGCCCCTCCAGTGGCGGCCTGGACTGGAAGTCTGGGCTTCGGCTCTATTCCTGGCCTCTTGCTACCTACTCCCAGAGCTCTCAGGATCTCTAGACCTCCGTGGTATTCTCTCTCTACCTTTGACCCGTACTCCCTCAGAATCCGCTAGATGACAGGCCTGACCCTCACCCATGGACTCCACCTCAGCAAGGCTTCCCACCTCCAACCCCAGAGGCCCTCCCAGCTGGGTTCAGGATGCAGGGGCTTTGCAGACAAGCCCCTCAGCCCCCCACCTGCCCCTGGATCCCTCTCCATTGCTCCCTCCTAAGCCGACTTTAATTCTTTTAATCTTTCCTCTGAAATCACTCCTCTGACCCTGTAATCAGCTGTGTGGGTTCCAACTTCCTGATTTCCAGGGGGAGATTAAGCAGCTTTCTCCATCTAAAGGCATTTTGGATGCCTGGGCCACCCGATGGGCTAACTAGACCCTTCTCTGGCAAGAGGCCTGTTCTCACTCTTCCAAGCCCTGGCCCACCCTGAGTCCTGGGCCTTCTACGTGGAACTTCCCAGGCCCCTACCCTGCCCTGGCCCCCCCAAAGATTCCAGGCCTCCCATCATTCCCCCTTCACACAGAGACCTCAGTGTCTCCAGCCAGGCTCAGATTCTGGAGTCCATGGCTTCCTCTATCACCAGCTCTGGGGGAGGGAGTGGGGATGGGGGTTGGGGGGGGGATGGGGCAGTGCTCAGGGCCTGGAATCTGCAGAGAGAATCCTCAGTCTGGTTGCTCCCCCAACCCTACCCCCTTCCCTTTTGGCTTCTCTGCTCCTCCACCTACTCTTCCCCTCAGAGGCCCTTTTTCTGAGAACATGGCCATCTACAGTCTCCCCTGGCTGATGGGGGGACAAGACTTACCAGCTTTCAATTCTTGGAAAGTGTATCATCTACTCTGCTCCTCTTCTGGGGCCATCTCAGGACCTGGTGCTCAGCTGTGCCCTGGCTTTGAGATAGAGCAAAATGGGGTCAAGGTCATGTACTGAGTGGAAGGGGGCTATTGGAAAGGGGACAGAGAGCAAGAGAGAGAGATTCTAAGGGAAAGCAGAAATGAGTTTTGGATTATGTGTCATTTGAGCTTGCCTTGGTATGTAGCTAGGGGATAGTGGTAGCTTCAATCTGACTTTCAACATGGAAGAAATAGTTGCCTAGAAAGAAATCTCTGAGACAGAAAGAGGGAGAGAAGGCAGTCTGTGGGAAGTGTCCTGGAATGCCACTTGTCAGGGCTACAGTTTCCCTCTGAAATGGGCGGGGTCCTGGGGCCTCCACACATCGACACTGGCTTCCTAAGGTCTGAAGATGCCAGGAGGACTCTCCCTTTTGTCTTGGACTGAGGGCTTCAGAGAGTCCCTGAGTCCCCTGATATTGTGTGTAAAATATTGTGGATATGGACATTACTATGGGGAGAACCTCCATGGCCTTAATCATGTTCCCAAAAGGCTCTGTCTCCACAAGAAGTTAAAAACCACTAGAGGTTAACAAGAAGGTGATACATGAGGCTGGCCAGAGTGACCCAAAGGACCAGGCCAGAGTGGAGCCGGATGACCTCTGGCTGAAACAAGTGGACTGGGTCAGGCTCAGGCAGTACTGTGAGTGTGAGGAGGTGACCCTCACTTCTAGCTGTGTGTGGGGTTGTGGGGGCCGTTGCCAGAGATGACCTGCGTTCCTGGAGACTCCCTCTTAAAGCAGATCTCTGCCAGGTGAAATCCCGTGGCTCACGTGACACACCTTCACGGGGCTGAGCTGATTGCTGGCTTTATCTGCTGGGGCCCTGGCAGGTACAGGCTGACGAGATGTAAAGATGATGAAGCTGAGCCCTAGGCCTTCCTGGAGCATCAGGGAAAAGTGCACAGGAGGGTCTGTGCCCACAACTTTCACAATGTGTACAAAGTTCACCTGTCTCAGGATAAAAATAGCACCCACTCCTCAAAGGGCTGTGAATGTGTCTAGCACTGATGTGGGCAAGTCAGAGGCATCACAGAAAAAGAGAAGGAAGGTCCTGCAAATTTGGAGGAAACGATAATTGCTTAGTGAAAAGTCCCTTAGCCTAACTGTGCTGACCAAGCTGTTGGGCCCTTCTGGGTCCCAGTGCCCTCTCCCATGAAATGATGAGGTTGGGCTGGAGGGTCTCTGAGGGCACCTTCAGTGCTGCCACCTAAGGTTTTAAGAAATGCCCCCTTTTGTCCCCTCCCTGGAGCTCTTGTGTGGGGGAAGTGGAGATTATCCAAAAGCCACAGGGAGCTTTCCCAGCCTTCCCCCTTGCACTCAGAGACCACCCACTCAGGGCCTACACGCAGCTCCCTCCTCCCACAAAGTCAATTTCCCTACAGAAGAGGTTGTGGGAACAAGAGGGGTTTTCCTCTTTCTATTTTGACTTGTCTGCTTGCTTGCTTTCATGCTCAAACTGAGCACATTCAGCATTCAAAGGAGAGCATGGGGAGCCCGGCTGGGACAGGTGTGGAAGGAGCACCCTGGCACCAGGGGTGTTGGCTGCTAAACGGGCCAGGACTAGCCGGGGATGGGGTGTGAACTCTCCTCAGGGCCCTCTGAGGAAGAGCCAACCCTCCTCTGTTCTAGGACAGACGCTCTGCTGTCCCGGATAGCCCCTCAGTCCTGCTTTCTCCCCGATGGCTCTAGAATGCTTTCTTCCACCATTGCGTGCCTGTGTGGTTTATACACGTGTGTGTCTATAGACATGTGTGCATATAAATATAGATAGACAGATACAAATCAAGGATTTACGAGGTGGTGGCAGTGCTGCCTGACGGTGGCAGCCAAGCTGCTGCCAGCTCTTCCAAGAGGGCAGCTCCCAGTCTCTCCCCGCAGCTCTCTCCTTTCCCCAGCTCCCCAACATCAAGCTGTCATCGTCACCAGCTCCCCCCTCACTTTTGCTCCCTGCAGCCAGGCTGCTGCTATATCCTCACTTCTTCCTCCGCAGCAACTCTGAAATCTGTTCCTTTCTTGGTCTCCGCCCCCTCCATCAGCATCCCCCTCCTGTGTCCCCATCTCCCCTGTCTCGTGTCTCCGCTTCTTTTTACTTTTCACACTCTCTGACTCTGTGCTGTCTCTGCTCTTCGTCCATCTGTCTGTCCCTCTCTGTCTGTGCTTGTTTTATGTGCAGCCCTGTCTCCTGGCCCCCTCCGAATCCCTGTCTGCCTCTCTCTCAGTCAGCCCCTCTCTCTCTGTTTTGTTGTGTGCATTTCTCTCTCTCTCCGTTTGTCTCTCTGTCACTCGATAACTAACTCCGCCAGAAACTCCTTGGGGAAGCAGTATTTCTAGCCTCCTCCTTCTTTCTGACCTCGCTGTCAAGTAGACTCCTCACCTGGTCTGAGCTTAGAGCAGAGCAGAGGCAGCGTGGGGGTGGGGGAGCGGATGGCCCCGCAACCCTTCCAGGGCCTGTGAGAACCTCGGCTTGTGAGAACCGGCCTGTGAGAACCAGTAGGCTTTGGGAAGAACAGCTGGGCTGGAGGAACCAGTGATGCAGCCCTGCCTGTTACTAAAACAAGTGGCAGGCTTGGCTCATTTGCATGTCGGGTCTCTTTTACATAAATCTGCATGTCAAGCTGGAGGCCCTGGAGCCAGGTTATGCAAAATGATGCAAAATAAATTAATCAGTGTGCCCTGCTGCAGGTGTAAGCCAGCCCTATCTTCCAACTGACAGAGGAAACCCAGACAGGCTGGTGTCCTGATGGGGTGGGGGAGGGATGGTGGGGCAGAGCAGGGTGCTGGCCTGGAGCAGGCAGGCAGCTGTTCCACCTCAGGCTGTGGAAGGCCCAAGGGGCAGCCTGCTTTCCAGTCTGGCTCCAGGGTGGTCCTGAGAGATAGAGAGGATGGGCCCTGATGGCTGCAGAGGGCTGTGAATCTAGCCTGGACCACAGCCTCATCCAGGCTCTGGAGACTCAGACTCCAGAGCTGGGAAAAGGGGATTTAGGGCTCACCTCATCCAGTGTGGAAACTGAGGTGCAGCGAGTGGGGGAGGGACTTTTCCAAGGCTACCCAGCTCTCTATGGTAGGATCGCCATCAGAAGCCTGCACTTCTGGCTCTCAGCAATGTAATCTCCCTGCTCGTTATCACTGGCCAGAAGTGGATGAATTTCACTGCTCCACTTGGGGGTGTCTGGTGACTTTGGATGGTCGGAGATGACAGTCTGCCCTTCTCCACCCCAGCCTTCGGGGAGCACTGCCTCTACACTAACTACCTTGGAGTGCCTTTTGGCCCTCCCTGACCCAGACATGGGGCCCTGTTCCCCCTTTAGGAAGAGGCAGCGTGTGAAAGAGGTAGTGGCCCTTCTCCCACTACGTTCTCCAGCCTCTGGAAGGTGCGGCTTCTTGGCTCCCCCCTGGTCTGGGAAATGGTTCCTGAAGCCCAAGGCTTCCGAGAGAAGGGGATGGGGAGCAGGGTCACCAGCAGCAGCGCCTGCCCCAGACCCAGCTCCATTTTAATTCTGACAGGCAAAGGTGAACCAGCCCTGGGAGCCCACACTCCAAAGACCTCACACCCTCTGCAGACACAACCCTCAGCTCGTTTAAAGGAGATGCAGAGCAAATCACATTCGTGTCAACTACCACTGCCTTCCTTCTCCTCTGCGGCGTGAGGCTGGCCAGCAGGGCTCCATCCTGCTATAGGATAGTGCAGACTAACCGGGCGAGCAGTGACGGCCATCTCAGGAGGTGGGGCAGCCAGTGGTTAAAAGCAGGAGCTTTGGAATGAGCCACACCTCTGCCTGGGTCCTGGTGCTACCACTTACCAGCTGTGTGCCCCACGGCAAGACACCTGGCTTCTCTGAGCCTCATTTGCTCATCTGTAAAATACGGGTGGTAAAAGTTGCTACCTCATAGTGTTATTAGGAGGCTTAAATGAGACAGAGCATGCATAGCACGCCACACAGCGCCTGGCACAGAGTAAGCATCTATAAATGGTAGCTATTATGATTACTCTTGCAAATATACGTATCACAGCCAGGCCAGCCTCAGTCAGAGGAAAGGGGCTGGGAAGCAGAAATAAGTCCACTTGGAGTCTCTCTCCCTCTGCCCTTCCTCCTCCCACCACCTTCTCCTGTCCCCCTCCCTCCAATCTATTCTCCACATTTGCACCAGAGGGAAATTTCTAAAACACACATATTTTCATGCCGCTGCCTTGCTTTAAATCCTTTCTGGCTCCCTATTGCTCTTAGGATGAAGCCCAAGCTCCCTGACACGGTCTTACACGGCTTTTTGTGATCTGGCTCCTGCTTATCTCTGGAGCCTCATCTCTCAGCCTCTTGTAACCTCAGCTTCAGGCCCACAGTTGCTCAGACTGGCATGTTGGTGCTCACCTCCAGGACTCTGCACAGGCTGCTTCCTGACCCCAGCTACACACCTCCTCCCCTCTTAGCTTAGAAGTTGCTTCCTCCTGAACACTCCCACTCTCGTGGCTGAGGATTGAAAGAGAAAGGCTTAAGGAGCTTCTCATCCCAGGAGATTTTGCCTGAGAGGCCCAAGCAGTAGGGACGTCTAAGATCATCCAGTCAGACTTCGTCTTTGGCAGAGAAGAAACCCAGGCCCCCAGAAGGAGGGGACTTCCTCCAGGGGCCATCCACCCCCTCCCTACACTAGCACAGGAGGAAATCAGTGACCCCTCCAATCAGTGACCCCTCCTCTGACACCAAGGGCTTCTCATTGGAACACATTTGCATTTAATCATTTACTCACCTCTCCCAGGGAGAATGAATAAACAGAAAGACTTGGGGACCCAAAGGAATGAGTTCCAGGCCCCGGGAGAGACCACAGGGATGTATGTATTTGGGGACAAGGGCTATTTTACAGCGCCCCTTGACCATCCTCACAGGGGTCGCTGTCTCCTTGTACCTCTTCATAGGATTCTGGTCTGCCTCACCTGCCAAGGGAGCAGGGCCTGTGACTAGGGACTGGGGGGAACGGAAAGGGGGCTTCCCAGGAGCTGCTAATTCAAAGGGTAGCCAAGTGAGAGCCAGTCAGGGCCACCACTGGCGGGTGGAAAGCACACAGTTCTAGAATCAGAAAACTTGAGTTCAAGTCCCACTTGCTAGCTGTGTGAATGGGGAAATCACTTAACCTCTCTGCACCTCAGTCTCCTCAGCTGTAAAATGGGGGTAATAATAGCTCTCACCAGGCTGTTGTGAGGGTCACGCGACATGATAGATGTGAAAGTACCTCCTAAACAGTTCAACATTCAACATGCACTCCTCCTGATATGAGGGGACGAGCCCAGGAAGGTCCTGATCAGGAACTAGGCTCCTATGCCCGGAGCTAACTCACCCCTCAGCTCCTGCTCGTGCTCTCTGCCTAATCTGTTATGGACTGAAAGGTGTTGGGCTTATAAATATTCGTTCCTTATGGCCAGACTTTCCTGAGTTTTATCGGCCTGGCTGATAAGATAATCCTGCTCTGTAGGGTAAGCTCTGGCACCTGGCGTTCTGCATGGCAGGTGACCTCTCAGACCTAACTTTTTAATACCTAGCAAGTCATAGGCTCTCAACTTACAGGCTGGAGGGGGAGGGGCTGTTTAAGGGGGCCTCCGAAAATAATTCTCTTTGTTTCTGAATCTGATGTCTAGAGTTGACCGGAGACTCCAAGTTAACACCTTTCATGCCAGATGGTGACTGGATCTCCGCTGGCTCCATGAAGCTCAGAACCAAAATGGTTTTGAAAAGACCTGAAGTGAGAGCCCTTCTCCTTTAATTAAGTGTGAAATCTCCATATCTATTTCAGCCTTTGAAAAGTGAAACCCAGGAAGGCAGGTTCCCCAGGCAGAAAGGAGAGGTGTGCGGAATTAATATTCCCTCTCGATTTTTCCTGTGTAACTTAATAAGTTGACAAAGCTTATAGGGGGACCCGGGCTGCATTTAGCCACTGGGCGAGCCAGGCTCCTGTGGCCGCCTCACTTTTCCAGTTGACAGAGCTCACATTAGAGTGGTTGACCGGCCAGGCAAGGTAAGTCAAGGTTAATATGAATTGCTGGGACCCGTCTCACCTTGCATGGTCACACAATTTGGCAACACATCCCTTCTCCCTCACACATTCTACCCGGATCCTCACAGAGTCCTAGGTGCAGCCTGAAGCGCACCTGCCCTCCTGGGCTCTGAGCCTGGGGCCCCTAATGGGCCCCACTGCCTTCCACCTCTCCCAGCCTCAGATGAGATTGACCAGAGCAAGGTATTGACTTGCTAGGCAATAAAAAAAAAAACAAAAAACTATTCCAGGACTGACTGCCTCAGCCCTGTAGCTCCAGGACGAAAGGCAACTGCCTGGACTAGCTGAGTCCCGACCCCCAGCAGACTCTCCGCCCCACCATCCCTCCCACCTCCTTTCTCTCTGTCCTCTGCTGGCCACAGGTCAACCCCAGAGCTGCTTCTCTCCGAAGCTGAGGACCCTCAAGGAATCTGTTTCAAAAAAGTAAAATTCTCATAGAAACCTGCAGAATCCCTGGACAGAAATCCTTGGAGCCCAGTGTGGGAAACATCACTATGGGTGTTCATCTCTTTTTGAACATCTACTGAGCTTCTGCTGATCTTCCACAAGACGTCCTTGGGGGAGGGGAGGATACCACCATAGAATTTTTTCCCCATAATAATAGAACTCTGAAGCTGAAACGGATTTCAGAGATCAGCTAATCCAACCATTCTCTTTCACAGATGGCTAGACTGAGGTTCAAGGAAGAAAAAGGGTCTGTCTAATGAGTTCTAATAACTAAGACAGGGCCATTGGGCCTTTAGCTGGGGACTGGCTGATGGGGATGGTGGATCACATTCCAGGGGTTAAAAGTAGGGGCGCTGGAGCCAGAGGACTTGAGTTCAAATCTTGCCTCTACTGTGAGACACAGCAAGTTCTTAAAGCTTCTTTGTGCCTTTAGTTTCATCATCTGTAGACTGGGGATCATAGTAACCACCTCACAGGGTCAATAAATGAGACAACATGTGTTCCAAGCCTGACATGTGTTACCCTAAAACATAAGCTCCTTGGCAGCAGGGGCTTGGTTTCATTTACTGCTATATCCTCAGAACCTAGAACATGCCCTGCCCAGAGCAGCCATCAATAAACGTCTACTGAATGGATGAATGCAGCCTGCGGTACTTACTATCATTATTATTGCCCAGAGCAATTTATTGTTTACCTGCAATCGCCTTTTCTTTTCTTATCTTGGGCTCCTTCCTCTGTTTACCCTTGTAACAGTGTGCATGGGCACACGCACACACACACACATTCACACCTGCGTGTCTACGCTGCTCTGCTCCGGCCTCTCCACGTGTCTCTTCTCACCTGCAGGGGGAGAGGGAGAACCGTGAGGCTGAGTCCCAATCCTTGCTTTCCTACCCAACCCCCATCCCATTCCATGTTCAAACTACTGCTCCCGTTTATCTGTCTGAACTCCTGGCCGCCCTCCTCTAACACACTTTGTGCTGCCCAATAAGTCAGGGGGTAAAAAAAAACTCACCACTATTCTTCCCTTTCCAAGAAGGACTGTCCACTTATTTTTGTTTTGTCTGATTTGAAACTGACTGATGTAATTCCCTTCTGCCCTGACAAATAGGGACCCTCAGCAAAGAAGGAAACAGAGCCAAAGAGAAAGGAGAAAGGGTCGGAGGCTTTCTGGAGATTTATGACGTTCCCATTTGAGCCCGGGCAGCTGGACAGCTCTCTTCTATGTTCAGGCCTTGAGTTTCAGGAAAACACAGACTCGGAGACTCGCCTGCATTTGAGTCATTTGGGTGGAGCTGGTGTTTTTATCCCTGCTGTCTTCCCATTTCCCTCCCCTTCAGAGCTGAGAGCTGTGAGCAGGGAGTGGTAACGCCAGCCTCCTTCTACCTTTGAGGTCTAGCACACTGGGGCAAAAAACAAAGAGCTAATCCTTCAATTCTTCTCAAATCCCGTTCTCACCCCTTTTTTCCCACCCCTAGGTTTAGTGTTTTAATTCATTTTGAATTAGTGATCATCGTGAGGGGAAAATGCGTGCGAAATTGATAGACTAGATCGTAATACAAAGTAAATAACGCAACCCTGCAAATTAACGCAGGCCCACAAGCCTAGACTTGGAAGAATCAGACCACAGGCAAATGATAGAAAATAATATGCCTAATAATAGAAAATGCCTAATAATAGAAAATAATAATATTAAAAAATAAGGCCTATGGTCTGCCAGAGACTGGGATTGGTGTGACCAAAAGATAAACTGTAAAGTGAAGTACTCAATCCAGGCAAACTGTAGGGTGCTCCCTTGCTGGTGTGCTCCCTTAATGTATATGACTAAAAAACAGATCCCATTTACTTTCATCTTCTTTTAATGACTTAACTGAACAAGGGTCTCAATTTACTAAATTAATGGAAATCTTGGTTCTGTGCAGATAAGTGATTTCTATTCTTTTGAGGTTGGCCTCCCCCCTGTTTTACCAGACGCAGTGCCTGATGCTGAGTAAGGGACCAGCCCCCACCTGGCCAAGCAGGGAGGCCATGTGGGGTGGTCCACCTGGTGGGGTTCCAATGAGTTGAGGCAGGTGGCAAGAGTGTGTCTTACCATAACTACAGGCCCTTTGAGTGGAAGGGATGTATCTACTGAGTTGAGAAAGGGCCGTGTGTGTCAAGTTCAGAAAACTGATGAAGCAGGTCCGTTATGGACTGAATGTTTGTGTTGCCCCCAAATTCATATATTGAAAGCTAACCCCCAATGTGATGGTATCAGGATGTGGGGCCTTCGGGAGGTGATTGGATCGTGAGGGTGAAGCCCTCATGGATGAAATTAGTGCACTTATAAAAGAGACCCCAGAGAGCCCTCTCACCCCTTCTGCCCTGTGAGGACGCAGTAAGAAGATGACTGTCCACAAACTAGGAAACCGGACCTCACCAGACATTGAATTGTCTGGTGCTTTGCTCTTCGTCTTGCCAGCCTCCAGAACTGTGAGAAATAAATATCTGTTGCTTAAGACACCCAGTCTATGGTATTTTTGTTATAGCAGCCTGAATGGACTAAGACAGAGTCTCAGTGCATTATGGGAACAAGAGTCAGGTAGGCGTCAGAGCTGAGTGCAGAGCAGAGAGCCGCAGAGCTGGGGATGTTCTCCTCTAGGCTGGGCCCTTAACCCCGAGAGGCATGCCTCTGTCTGGGCCACAGGAGCCACACAAAAACCCTGCCTGCTCCTCAGTTCAGTGTCCACTGCTCTGTTCTGCCCCAGACACTGGCTCCCACTTAGTCCCAGGCTCTCTCCCGGGACTCTCCCAGTTCAGCCTTCCTGGCTTGTCGTATCTGGACTTGGCAATCTGGTTCCATTTCTGCTTCATGACTAGGTTGGAAATCCCACAGTCTCAGCCACCAAGAATTACCCGCAAGTCACCAACATCTACCTCAGTCCCTGCAGCTACATCAACTCAGGTGCCAGACTCCTGGTGGGAGTGAGGAGGGGGCATGTGGCAAAAAGAAGGGGTGGGAATGAGAGAATAAAAAGAGTGGGTCAAAATGGGCAAGGAGGAGAACAATTTGGGTGAATATTCAAAAGAGAGTTACAAATATACTCCTGTGGTACACGGCATGAGTGGGCTGGGCTCTTTAAAGGGGCCTTGGTAGCAAGATTGAGACATTAAATTGATTTCAACACCTTTGGGCATAAACAAAGACCCCCTGCCATGAACCCCAATGATGTGGCCTCAGTATGATTCTTTTGGCTTTTAGGTGTGACCTCTAAGGAATGACAGAAGGGAATGGTTGTTCAAGCTGAGAAAAAATTACTCAAACTCCATGCGGCACGCTACAGCTCTTTTTTTGGTTAGCTCTGGCTTTGCTCCAAGAATGTCTTCTTTCTTACTTCTGGAGGTCTTAATGCTTATAGCCATCACCTGGCTTTTTCTGGTCTGGGAGGCCTGTTCATCGCCTCACAATGGGCCTTGCTTCTATTTCACAACATCCTTCATTTCCACTCTTGAGTACTTGTCAACAGAGTGTATACAGGAAGCAATCAGATCTATGAACCAGGCTATCAATATTTGCCTTCCTGTCTCGTCATGGGTCACAGCTCTGACGCAGAAGTGATGCTGTACGAGCCTTTACCTGTTTACCCAGCCACTCACATCCCCGGAAAGTGCACAGCATGTCACTCATGTTGATCCAGACAGAAAATGTCCCTCTGGAGTCACACTAGCTTTGCATCTTCCTCCACAAACCCAACCTCGGAAAATTTCCTATTCAGCATTAAAAAAATAATAATAACCTGAATGGGAATACAGAGAGCATTTTTATCAAAATTTCAGATGCTACTAAGTCAAATAGGGAATCACTAAATAGGGTAAAAGAATAAGGTCCCAAGTCAACCTTGGTACACTGGAATAAGGAACTGAATTTAAGAAGATAAAATTGACTAGTGGTAGATGTAAAGTCCCACCCTCGGGCTCCAAAAAACACAACCAGCACAGCTGTATCATTTCAGAATTTGGAAGATGGAGCTGGAAGAGCCACATATTGATTGCAAGCTCCATATGAGTCAAGGGTATAATATGACTCTCCAAAAACCTAAGGCACGTTTAGGCTGCATCATTGGAAATGCCGAGTGAAGGAGGTGACAGTCCTGCTCTTCTCAGCACTACTGGACCACACCTGGTGTGTTGTGTTTCCTCCGACACCATCCAGGGTGAACGCTGACAAACTGTCATGCATCAGAGGGGTGGAAACAGGAAGA